TCTCTTGTTAAAATATTTTTTTTCAACAAACTGAATCACGTAAGCACATTTCTTTTCATATGACGCCTTACATAATCACGTTCTGTGAAATGCCATTAAGGGATAAGGACACTTCACTAAATGTTATAATTTAATTTTCGTACTAAGTGAAAATTCAGTACATTTATACGGCATTATGCATAAAGAAATATTTTTATCCTTTATAACTAATACTACACACGATGAATTAGACATAGAACCGAAATTCAGGCCTAACAGAACAGACAACGGAATTCACCAAGAAATCGCGAATGTCAGTTTTGTTTAATATCTGGCTAATTTTTCTATATCTAAAGTTAACTGCCAAGTGGAGTATAGACGGGGAATGTTCGCAAGTAGATTAGGGGCCGGAACGCAGGACAGTGAAATACCCTGAGCATACAGGCCCAATGATAGTGCTACTTCCTCTAGTCCTACGCTGCCCATTTCGGCTTTTCCAGTGATGGCGCCTTCTGTTCATCCCCTTCGTGACCCTACAACCCTTCCATTAGTGCCAATTCAGCCATTCAGATATTGCCAACTTCGACCTTTATTAGTAGGCCTCGATTGGCCATGCGATAACACCTTCTAGCGTAATGAAAAATAAAGTCTTCTAGGTCTTTAAGGCCTAACAATGGTTCACCACCAGTTTCCAGGAGTCCCGGCAAAGCACTTCTCATGGTGCCCCTCAGGCCTCCTTTCAGCCATCTACTAGTGGGGTCTCTTCGAACACTCCACTCAAATTGAACCTAAGGGGACTTTACGCAAAGTAATTTATGCCATGGGTTTCGGAGCCTATCATCTATTTATTTGGCCAAAACCGAACGAATAAAACATATGAAAAGTAATACATAAGGGGGGGGAAAGTCGCAATATTTTTTTGTACAATTATTTTTCTTTATGATAAAACTAAATGTTAGTAACTCCAACGGATGTATTTTAATAGCACTGTATAGTGTGTGAAAGCTAAGATCTTCGTACTTCGTACTGACCGCTGCATCCCTTCCTAAAAGCGGATTGCAGCAGGTCATTTGTACAAAGGACATGACGTCGATCAACTTAGACCACAATGTATATACTGTATGTTTCTCTATGTATGCATTATGGAATATATATATATATATAGTATGATATAGTAATATATATATATAGATAATGATTACATATATGGTATGTATGATATAATATCATGATAGAAATCAGGTAATATATACCTGTTATTATAATATAGAATACTATATAGTATTATGGTAGATATTGATTAGAGATGATATACATATATATACTAGAGAGATATTATATATCATATATTATATAATATCTACTGTATATATATACTATATATAATAGGATAGATATATATATATATATATATACAGTCATAGATAGCGGCAGAATATATATATAATCTAAGATATATATATATATATATATATAATTAAATATATATATCATATATCTATATTATATATATACATATATATAGATAATATATATAATATATATATATTAATATATATATATATTATATATATATATAATAATATATATTATATATATATTCATATATATCATATATATATATTCTATATCTATATATATATAATGTATTATATGTATATATGTATATATATTGTGTGCGTGTGTTTGTGTGTGTGTGATGTGTGAGTGTGTACATGTGTGTTTATATACATGTGTAAATATATAATATATATATATATATATACAATAATATATTATATATATATATAGATATTATATAATATATATTTTAGAGAGAGAGAGAGAGAGAGAGAGATGAGAGAGAGTTCTAAGCAGTTTGTTTACATATGATAACAACAGCGATTTCAGGTTTTCATAATAAAATGTTGTCATATTTCCATTCCAATGCATGGCCTTTGGGACTAGCACATAAGCTTATCAACAAAGCCACTTGTGATTGGCCGGAAGGAAAGTGGAGTCAGCTAACCAATCAAAGCGGAGAATGACCAGTGATTCTTCATTTCAACGTAAACAAAAAGCTTGTTTTCCGCCGCTGGGCCTCAGTGTCATCGAGTCACTGAGAGAGAATTGACTGCGCCGCCTTAGATTTAGGTATTTTTTCCCATTTTTTAGTCTTACAGGCACCTATTTATTTGTTAATTGTTTAGCGAATAAAAGATGTGTAAAAATATTAAGTTAAGCCGGAAGGATGAAATAAACAGGCGTGAGAAATTAAAAGGAAGATCGCCGTCCGGCGTCTGATGACCCCACTTGCTTTGTCGGAGGCGAGACCATTCTGGTACAATCCTTTCTTCGTAATACGTACACCGGTGATTTTTCAGACATGAATATGAAGATAATCAGATATGGAAGAGCAAACTTGTGTAGCATTTTAAATAAATCCATTTAGTGAATAAACAAGGGGGACTGAATTTTTACGGCGCCAGTAGTTGGTGCAAAAGGTTATTTTCCGTGTTTGAATATTCTCTTTACAGGGAGGTCATTCAGCAGTAACTATCGTCCCACTCAGATTTAAAGATAAGGATACTGTAGATTAGTGTTGTTTTTAATGGATCAGTGTAGGTGAAGTATAATTTTCATTTAACCTAGCTGTACAAATGGGTATTCGACATGGTGAAAATCATGTTAGTTTAAAATGTAGAAGGAAATGCACACTGCATTCTTATACAGCATTAAGATAGAGTAATAAACACTAAAGGTACAGCTGCAGTGGCCTCACATTTACTGCGAAATGGTGAAAATATCCACTGCATATCACCGCTCAGAGACGAAGGCACAATACCTTCACACTGCCCGAGTTCTTAATGTTATTTTTCTTTAAGTACTGCCTTATGAAGAAACCAGATGACATCCAATTCTCTAAATTGAAATTGTACCCACAGTGACTAGATATTCCAGGAAACCAATACATGTCCTTAACCAAATATATGGTGTGCCACAGTTTCTCACCCTTGTGGCCTATTCAGGACCTGGTAGGAGGCCGTGTTTCATCCAGCCATCTTTTTATAAGGAAAATAATATATGCAAACGACAGAGCAAATAAATCCAAGAACTTATCTCTTATGTATTTCCGTCGCAACTCAAAAATAACAAAGTTATAGACATGCAAGTGTCTGAAAGCCTGAAAGGACTCTAACTAATATGCAGAATTATTAAGAACGAGACTACCTTTCGTTAGCTTTATCCCTAGAATAGGAACTAGCCCAAGGTCTGTCATGCCATAATATCCAAAGTGACATGAGAAGTTAGTCTTTGTTTTTTGAAGTTAATCTTAGATGAATCAGTACTATTTATGGAATTTGGGTATCGAGTGTTGGTCATACCTTGATTTATGAAAGTATTTCTATTTCCTTCTAGGAAAATGAGGCCATCCTGGCTTGTTGGTGGCAGCTGTTGCTGTCAATGCCAGCAGCCATTTCCTCTCAGACAGATTTATCAAGCAGCTCCAGAGTGAGGATTCTACATGGGAGGTTGGTATACTTGCTTTAATTATGGTTATCCTCTTTTTATTCTTATTTTTTTCTTGTGAAGCAGACTTAATGTTCAATGATGGCATAAATATGCCAGGCCACTGTAGTTAGAGTGTATTGTGTTTTTACAGAGATGGCTTCACAAGGCCTTTCCTTGATTTTTTTTCAAGATTCTTGATTATTTTATATTTTTTTTGCCACAAGTATTTTAATAACAGAGTAGTAATCAAAATGATAGTGATAATTACAGAAAAAAATATTTTTTTGCTTTTTTCGGTCACTAAGGCTTACGACTTTGACTTGTAAGCAACAAAATAAATAAAAATGCACTACATAAACCATCAATCAATAAGCTGATATTATGTTTTTGTTTTCATTAAGTAAAAGTAATGCATTTTGGGGTATGATAATCCTTTTGAGTTGGGTGACGCTGAAAAGAACATTTCTTCCCTCGTAAAGGCTGGGAGGAACTTCAACAAGCACCTCTCCATTAAGTACTTCCGACGACTCATGGGTGTCCATCCCGATTCCAAATTCCACATGCCCAAGTACGAAGTCCACCAGATTCCGGAGAACTTTGAAATGCCCAAAGAGTTTGACTCCCGAGCTGCCTGGCCGATGTGCCCCACAATTGGTGAAATTCGCGACCAGGGTTCCTGTGGATCTTGCTGGGTATGTCTTTCTTTTTTTTTCTTTTTCTCTTTCTTTTTATTTTTAATCATGTTGATTATCATTAATGTTAGTATTAGTAGTAGAGTGCCTAGCTATTGTTGTATGCATGTAGTAGTATGATTATTATTGTTACATGTATAAATCTTATTTCCAATTGAAATGGCATACATGCATGCACTTGCATGTACATACACAGACACTTGCAGCCACACACACATTCACTCTCAGACTCGCTCACATGCAGATGCACGTGCAGGTGCTTGTGGGTATCCATGTACACACTGACAAAGGATATGCTCACAAAATCATAGATGTACCCAGTGAACACACACACACACACACACACGCACACACACACGCACACACACACGCACACACACGCACACACACGCACACACACGCACACACACGCACACACACGCACACACACACACACACACACACACACACACACACACACACACACACACACACACACACACACACACACACACACACACACACACACGCACTCGCACACCGCACTCGCACACCACACTCGCACACCACACGCGCACACCACACGCGCACACCACACGCGCACACCACACGCGCACACCACACGCGCACACCACACGCGCACACCACACGCACACACCACACGCACACACCACACGCACACACCACACGCACACACCACATGCACACACCACACGCACTCCCATACGCACATGCACTCGCACATGCACACCCACACCCACACGCACACCCACAAGCACATGCATTCGCATACCCACACGCACACACACATGTACACAGATGCATATGCTTGTACATGCATGCACACACACAGACGAACACTCTGACTCTGACTGACTTGACTCACACTTACTGACTCTGACTGAATGACTTGACTCACTCACACCCTCCCTCTGACTCTTACTGACTGACTCACACTCTGACTCTGACTGACTGACTTGACTCACTCACACCCTCCCTCTGACTCAGACTGACTTGACTCACTCACACCCTCCCTCTGACTCTGACTTGACTCACTCACACCCTCCCTCTGACTCTGACTGACTTGACTCACTCACACCCTCCCTCTGACTCTGACTGACTTGACTCACTCACACCCTCCCTCTGACTCTGACTTGACTTGACTCACTCACACCCTCCCTCTGACTCTGACTGACTTGACTTGACTCACTCACACCCTCCCTCTGACTCTGACTGACTTGACTTGACTCACTCACACCCTCCCTCTGACTCTGACTGACTTGACTTGACTCACTCACACCCTCCCTCTGACTCTGACTGACTTGACTTGACTCACTCACACCCTCCCTCTGACTCTGACTGACTTGACTTGACTCACTCACACCCTCCCTCTGACTCTGACTGACTTGACTTGACTCACTCACACCCTCCCTCTGACTCTGACTGACTTGACTTGACTCACTCACACCCTCCCTCTGACTCTGACTGACTTGACTTGACTCACTCACACCCTCCCTCTGACTCTGACTGACTTGACTTGACTCACTCACACCCTCCGTCATGCATCATATGTTGTATTGTCATTTTTCTCCTATTATATTAGACTGGAAATAAGATTTTTGTATATTTATTTGTATTGTGATCTTATTACAATCTTTCTTCAATTTTTGTTTCTTTTAGGCATTTGGAGCTGTAGAGGTGATGAGTGACCGGCAGTGTATCCACAGCAAGGGCAAGAGCAACTTCCACTATTCTGCAGAAAATCTTGTGTCCTGTTGCCACCTCTGTGGTTTTGGATGTAACGGAGGTTTCCCCGGTGCAGCTTTCAAGTACTGGGTGCACAGTGGCATTGTATCGGGAGGCTCATTTAATTCCACCCAGGGATGCCAGCCCTATGAGATTGCTCCTTGTGAACATCATGTCTCAGGACCCAGACCCAAGTGCTCTGAGGGCGGCAGCACCCCAAAATGTGCCAAGACATGCGAGAAGGGCTACATTGTAGACTACGAGAGTGATCTGCATCATGGAGGCAAAGCATACAGCATCATGAAAGATGAAGACCAAATCAAGTACGAGATCATGAACAACGGACCTGTTGAAGGAGCTTTCACTGTTTATGTAGACTTCCTTCACTACAAGTCTGGTGTGTACCAGCACCGCCATGGCTTACCTTTAGGTGGACATGCCATCCGTGTCCTTGGGTGGGGCGAAGAGAATGGCACTCCCTATTGGCTCTGTGCCAATTCATGGAACACCGACTGGGGTGACAATGGTCTGTTCAAGATTCTAAGAGGTTCAGATCACTGTGGCATTGAGAGTGAAATTTCAGCTGGGTTGCCTAAGGTGAATTAATAACATGTATCCTGGCAGTTCAAGTTTCCTGTTGCATTGTCAAAAGTTAGAAATTGATATTAATAGCAAAAGTAGGGACATTCCAAGTGTTAGTCTGGTGTGGATTCTTCTCATTTCTTAAAATGGTCATTGCAATTTCTTCAGTACTGTACTCATAGACTTTGCACTTCATTAAAATTCATTGCCATGTATTGTATTTTGTGTAGCTAATGGTACCTCTGTGAAGCAAGATATTATGTGATGTTGAATAAAAGTTAAGATATGTTGCTGAGCTGTGATAATGGGTCACAAAATGTAACACCGCTAACAAAAAATGAAATGAAACATTCCAGGTTATATTAACATTAGTTAATATTTCTTTTCTGATTTTAATGTTTGTAAACTTGAGATCAATGTCTGATGTTCTGATAATAAATTTAATTTTACAATTTTTGTTGATAATTATTATAAACCTGAAATCATTCTTTTTTGCATATACTAAACTGATTACAGAGAGGAATTATAATAATGGCATTGTTAGTAACAATACTAATATACTTTACTATTATAAAAGTAACAACCTAGGGTGTAACAAAGATTATGATAATTTATTTTACTTAGAATCTAGGGAAGGCCTATAAAGAAATATATATTTAGTTCTCTCTCTAATGAACATGCACAAACCTATGTATAGCAGAAGTCACAGTGGGCTATTGCAGATACACAGTATAAAGTTCTCTTAAAATATGTGTATGCTTTCCTATCCCTATCTCTGTCTCTCTAATTTCTCTCTCTCTCTGTCCTTTCTCTCTCACTCTCTCCTTTCTCTCTCTCTCTCTCTCTCTCCTTTCTCTCTCTCTCTCTCTCTGCTTTCTCTCTCACTCTCTCCTTTCTCTCTCACTCTCCTTTCTCTCTCTCTCCTTTCTCTCTCACTCTCTCTCTCCTTTCTCTCCCACTCTCTCTCTCCTTTCTCTCTCTCTCTCTCTCCTTTCTCTCTCTCTCTCTCCTTTCTCTCACTCTCTCTCTCTCCTTTCTCTCACTCTCTCCTTTCTCTCTCACTCTCTCTCTCTCCTTTCTCTCTCTCTCTCTCTCCTTTCTCTCTCTCTCTCCTTTCTCTCTCTTTCTCTCCTTTCTCTCTCTCTCTCTCCTTTCTCTCTCACTCCCCCCCCCAATCCCTTGCCCGTTGTTGTCGTGGGGGGGCTTAGGAGGCGGAGACTGAGACCCAATGATGGGGAACTCCCCAACCTTGGGACTCAGCCCTCGACTCAACTAATTATGCATGGTCTTTTTTTCCCTTCCCACTTTTGTTTCTGTTCCTTCACCAAACCCTTCTGCTATCCACCTCCTAAGGTGTGAGAGCCGTGCTGAAAGGATGAAAGGCTGACTTTGTGCCAGTCCTGAACGGCCTGAGGGAGCCATGGGCACGGTATTCCCCTGATTTAGCTATCTAGCCCTTACCCATCAAGGGGACCCTGAGGGGTGGACTGTTTTTATCCCCAACATAATCCAGGCTTACCATGGCCAGTAATGAAAATATATCCCCACTCTTAGGGGCAATGAGGCTTGCCCCTTTATCAAATAGCCCCAACGAAGTAAACCCACCCGATTCCCCAACCCCAGGCTCTCCTTTGACCACGGCTCCGAACACTGCAATAACTACCCCTTCACCAATGCCTACTAGTACAGTAGCCAACAATCAACCCTCAAGGAACATTTCCACTCTCCCAGCATGCCCAACTTCAACACCTCTACCCCCACAACCTCCAACATCAACCACCCCATCCTCCCTTATTAATACCTTACAGCCTTATAACCCACCTCTCCATAACACTACCTCCCTCAACACTACTCCATCTTCGTCACGCCCTCGCCCTTCTACCACCCCTATCTCTAAAACAATCTTGAATACTCTCTTCAGTGCAGCCAAATGGGACCGATTTTTCGTGATCCCTCCCACAGCTCCCTACTCTGACAACACCCTTCTCTTCCAGCAATGCCTCCAAAAACAAGTAGGTAAAGTCTCTTTCCGTAGCCGACCCGACCGCTCCCGTCTTGTCATAGTAACATCCGAAAACCAAGCTATAGCATTAACAAAACTAACTGACCTATATGGTAACCCCATCAAACCCTCAATACTTGCATCGGAACAGTCTCAATCTCCCCAGCAAATTGCCCAATCTATGACAGAGATTGGTCAGATTGTGGAGATCTATTTGCCTGTCTCACAGACTACGATGCAACATCAGTACAATGCTACTCCATCCCCCCCAGAGGTCATCGAAAGAAACCCACTAACATAGCCAAAATTACCTTCCGTAGACATGACCTTCCCTTTAAACGTCTACATAGGAGGAGAATCCCTCCCTGTTCGTCCATACCAACCTCCTCCACGTCAGTGCCAAAATTGTTGCGTCTAGGACACCCAGCCAAACATTGCCGTTCCACAGCCAGATGCCCATTATGTGCCCAACCTGGCCATACCCGATCTAACTGCTGTGCACAATCACGCACATGTGCTAACTGTGGCGGCCCCCATAATGTATTTTATAGGGGCTGTCCCACCTACAAATTTGAATCTGAGGTAGCAACTCTCAGATTCAAACTTGGACTCACACTGCGTGAAGCCAGACAGGAAGCACGTCGACGTGGATTCTCTCTTACTCCTTACTCCAGTAATACTGCTCATTCTAACACTTCTCCTAAACCCACCCCTCCTACATCTAACCAACCCACTTCTACCTCCTACCTTCCCCAGTCAAACTCTTTGCCATCCTAAATCCAGAAAACTCCAATCTCTACTACAGATACTCCAATCACCACTACAACCCCAACACCTTCCCCTCTCCCTCCTCGCACTCCCCGTAACAGACAGAACAAACGTTCCACCCCCTCTTCCCCTACCACACAATCACCTCCACCATCCTTTGCCCCTACTCTTGAGACACCAGTCCTCTCTTCCCCCCCCCCCTCACAAGAAATCCTTTATCCCCAACAACTCCCCAACCAACTCCTCAGAAGAAACTATTGAAAATATTCAAGATTACTTAATGCAAACTGACACTCAACCTACAACCCCTGCTCCTTCCACACTCCAAATAACTGCTGATATCCATCCTCCTCCTAACGATATCCCCCTACACCTATCCCTCACTCTCTCCCCAACGTCCACCAAGACACGTGAACCCCGTTCTTCGTCTCTTCTGTTTCTACTGTTTTCTTCTCCTTTTAGGAAAAAAAAAAAAACACAACTTCCTTTGCCTTATTGAAACCCACACGCCAAGCACTTTCTTTTCCCTATTTTTTAACTTTTCTCCTACTCCTTCTCTCTACTTTTGATCCCCCTTTTTTCTGGCTTCCGTTGATCTTACTCTTTTGTTTTTCAATCTCCTCCTTTTTTCCTCTTTTTTACTCTTGTTTTCCCTTAGCTATCCTTCTTCATCTTCTCTCTCTTTCTTTTTCTGTTGCTTTTATCTATTTTTTTACTTCAATCAGTGTTATCTTTACCTCCTTTACTCTTAGGGGGAGGAAGAAAGAGAGAGAGAGAGAGAGAGGAAAGCGAGAGAGTGAGAGAAAGAGAGAGAGAGAGATGAGAGAGGATGTGAGGGAGAGAGAGAAGAGATAGAGAGAGAGGACAGAGAGAGAGAGACAGAGACAGACAAAGACAGAGAGAGAGACAGATAGAGCGAGATAGAGAGAGAGAGAGAGAGAGAGAGAGAGAGAGAGAGAGAGAGAGAGAGAGAGAGAGAGAGAGAGAGAGAGAGGGAGAGAGAGAGAGAAGAGAGAAGAGAGAAGAGACAGAGACAGAGAGAGAGAGAAGATAGAGAGATGGTCAATGGTTAAAAGCAAAATATATGCGTTAGACATCTAAGATCATGTAGCACTATAGTAAATGGTAGTGAAGGGAGGTTGAGTCAGTGATTAGTTGCTAAAGCTGGTTGAAGGAATTGACGAGTGAGTGGGTTAAGGTCGGGTAAGGTAGAGGGGTTAGATAAAGTGAAGGATATGTATGCGTCTGAGGAAGAACAGGTTGTCAAAGCAGAAAATTTGAGATTCTGCAAGGATGTCTGATAGGTTGGGAGGTCGGGGAAGGGAGGATAGGTGGGGGAAAGCTGAGGTACAGGCTGCAGAAAAGCAGGACTGGACAATAGAATGTGTGGAACTGAAAGAGGGACATTACATAGGGAACATAGGGGTGGATCAGAGTGTAGCATCAGACAGGAGTGTGTTAGATGGGTGTGGCCAATGTGTAAGCGGACGGGAGCCGTCTCCCAACGTCTGTTCCGATGAAATGGAACTGATTTGTGAAAGAGAAGGGAGTGGGTATATGTGTTTTAAGGCAAAAAGGAGCGCGTACAGTTCTGTAGCAAGGACACTGGATTCATGAGGAAAGGGGTATTTGAAAGTGCGACTTGGAAAGGCTACAGCAAAACCAGCACCGGAGGTGGATTTAGAACCTTCAGTGTAAACATGGATACTGGAGGAATGAATGGAGACATGGTCAAGGAAATGGGTGAGAAGGACAGCAGGAGGAATATTTGATTTTGGTGGGTCAGGGAAAACAGAGGAGCAAATACGGGGGTAAGGTATAAGCCATGGAGGGACAGAATGGACAGAGAACGGGAGAGGTCGAAGATGGGGAAATGGGGAATGGGAGAGGAGGGTATCCATGCGAATGAAGAATGAAGTGTGGAGAAAAAGACAAAGGTAGGAAGTAGGGATCGTGGGTTAGGTAGTTTAGTGAGGGGAAGTTGGTGGAATCGAGAATAACATCGGGGAGATAGAAGGGTACAGCGTCGAGAGAGAGATGGTATGCCTGATTCAGTGTACAGGCTCTCAACTGGAGAGGAGCGGAAGGCATCTAGGGATAAGCGAAGACCACAGTGGTGGATTGTATCAAAACAGACAAGGAGAGAGAGGTTGAGGCAGAGTATATATGGCATCCATAATCGTGAGTGGAGAGGATCAAGGTGACATGAAGATGAAGGAGAGTTTTGCGATCTGAGGCCCATGATATATGGAATTGAGTTTGTAAGATTTGGAGACTGACGAGCTTTTTCTTTAATGTAAAGGGTATGATTTTGCCATGGCAGTTTGTAATAAAAATTAATGCCAAGGAATTTACCAGAGGAACGGTATTGGAGTGAAGTGCCATATAAGAAGAATGGAGGTTGGGGACCTAAACGTGCACGAGAGAAAAGGATGGAAAAAGATTTGGAGGTAGAAAAGCGAAAGACATGGTTTGTGGCTAGGAAGATACTGATGATATTGCAAACTGAAGGAATTGGTATGGATGTGCCAGAGGCATAGATGGTTAAATCATCAACATATAGTGATGACAAGGCTCCTGGTGGTAGAACTGAGACAATGTCATTAACAGCAAGAAGGAATAAAGTGGTACTGAGCACACTGTCTTCGAATTGAGGAAAGAAGGATGATGTGGAAGAGGCAA